AGGGTGGAGGTTTTGTCTATATCCGTAGTATATTTCATTTAGTAGGCAAAGTAGATCACGTAATTGTGTCATGTGAGTGTTTTGGTATTGCCGATAAGTGATTTTTTCCCTAGAACTTACAAGGAAGTTGTCTACTCTTTAACTCTCAAGTATTTTATGAAGTTGATTTATGTAAAATGCAAAATTTGTGCAAAAACAACTACTACTACGTGTCTAACAATTAAGGGCATCCTGCTTTTGATATAACTGTTTTCTGTGAAAGTGTTTCATTTTCTTGTAGCCTGCTTTGAAATCTTTGATAGCCTTTTCGAGGTCACAGATTATACTTCAACATTCGAAAGGAAATTTGTAAATCTTTACATTGAGATAAGATAATTATATAAGTAAGAAGGGCTATACAGACTATTAATTTTACATTTAAAAGGCATATTAGACAATATGAAGAATGATGGGCTGGAAATACAATTTGTATTTCTAGAAAAATGCTGAAATGTGCCATGTCTGAAGTAGCATTATTAACGACTGAACCTCCAGTGACATCTGTCCTGGGGACAGCCCAACAAAAAGAAGGCTTGAAAACAGGGATACGTGTCAGAGCGTTTCAGAAAGCCCTGATTTTTATTCAAAACACGGATCTCATCACTCTACTCTCTGGTCTCATTGTTTTTAGATTTATCTGCACTCCTATCTCCAATGTCCCTCTCATTGAAAAAATTCTCTCACTCTTGATTTATAGTTAATGATTAACTGGCCAAGATTTACTGACAGAGCTTCAGTCTGAATATCACTGCTACTGGATATAATTGCTACACACTTGCCGTGATACATTATTTAGTTTGAAACAAGATTTTTAATATGGCAATAGTCTTATCTCCTAAACTGCAGAGCCACGATTTATAATTCTAAAACCTTCCTTTATACAAATGCCAGTGTTTGTATTCAAACTTTTGACTTTTGGATGAAGTATATGGATAGCCTCTCTGTTACTGATTCAGATCTTTAAGAAGAAACTCTGTAAAGCAGATGAAACAATTAATCTTAGGAATCACCTCCTCCTTGTTTAGAAATAGCCATGGGGTTTTGCTCACTTGGTCGTCTCTGACTGAGTTTTGGTAATAAATGGGTTTTCAGCACATGACTGTTCAGATGAGCGTGAATTCTCAGTACATTTGAGAGCCAGTAAGCACCCTCTGTAAAGAAACCAACAGCAGACTTGAAGTTAGCTGGCACCGCAAGGAGACCTCAAATGACCACCGCCCGCAAGGGCAACTTTCGGCTGGATGAAGTGATTTGCGGGGGTCCTTGCTAAACCCAGTCGCTGTAACCAGGAGGATTTTCCATCAGTGTGATGTCATCATGTAATAAATAAATACTAACATTTTGGAAAATGATCTTGATTTGATGAGGCTGTAAACAGCAGCTGTTAAGAGCAAGGGCATTCGTAATCAGGCAGACGTGACGTTTACACCCCAACTAACCACCTAACTAAATAAGGAATGACTGTGCTGCCCTGCTCCAGCCTCTCTGAGTCTCAGTCCTCTCTTCTGGAAACAGGAAGAACAGTCTCCCTCCGCAGAGGGCCGAGTGAGCCTTCAGTGAGATGCTCCACGAGCCGGCTCAGTTCAGCGCCCGCCAGGTAGCACTTCTTAAACAAGCCCCAAAGCGGGCAGCCTGACCATGTCGCCATAATAATTTGCATAAACAACTCTTTTCACTGCTTTCCTTCACTTTGCTTGCTGTCGGATCTTGACATATTGTGGTTGTTCCCCGCCCTGGGACTCCAAAGACCATCAAAACCCCCAGTACTACTCTTATCCATGTGATCGTTTTTGTTGGAGAAAAGACATTTTAAAAATTCTCACCTCGCTGGTTTCTAAGGTGAGTGTGCATGTGCAGGGGATAACAAAGATACTCCATTTGGACGAAAAACAAAATATTAGTTTCTATAGCAATTTTTTCCCTTTGTCTTTCATTTTTGTGTTAGTGCAGTGGGCATTATAGAATTTACGATAAACATAGCACGTACCAGAGAGGTGTGCTGTTCTGAGCGTTCAGCCACAGGTTTTGGAAGCCATTGCTCTAGAACTGGGGTTGGCAAACTCCAGCCCAAGGGCCAAATGCGGCTCATGGCTTATTTCTATAAAGTTTTATGGGAACGTAGCCATACCCATTTGTTTACGTATTTTCAGTGGCTGCTTTTGTGTTACAGTGTAGAGTTGACTAGTTGTAACAGTGGCTAGATGGCCTGCAAAGACTAAAACATTTACTGCCACTTTAGAGACAGAGTTTGCCAACCCCTGGTCTAGAGGATGGTTTTTATAGGAGGAGGAACACAACCCACACTGCAACCTGGTTTTTACACCTTTTCACACCAGTGCTGTCCACTAGCCAACTCAGAAGCGGGGTGATGTTTCCCAGCCGCTTACTGCTCAGAAATTGGTCCATGGATCAGCAGCATCAGCATCATCTGGGAACCTGTTTGAAATGCAGATTCTTGGGTCCCACCTTGGACCTTTCAGAATCTGCCTTTGAACAAGACCCACAGGAGATCTGTGTGAATATTAAAAGTCTGAGAAACAGCAGCGTCCCCTATATAACTCTCAGGTCACACATTAGTGGAATGCGTGGAGCTGCTAAAGTACCTTAAGAGGATATTAGTTTTAGACTTCTCATTGTACATGTATTTGCTTCTTGCATTGCCCCGATGAACTAATTTGCCATATATAGAGACCCACAGGGCTGGCATGATCTGGCTCTCCTCCAGTTACTAGTTATATATGGAAAGGCTAAGTCAACTCTTAGACACTTTTGGGCCTCTCTCTCATTAAAAGAAAAAAAAAAGTATCTTGTTTTTGGAGGTTAAACTTTAGTGAAGTGTTCATTGGTGTGGATCAATGTGTTCAGTATTGACCTCAGATTTTGTTGTCCATAGTGTTGTAGTTTTCCTAAAAAAATGTATGACAGTTCTAGAAGAAGGTTAAAGACGTTTTCCCCACCCCTCCACCTTACAAAGAAGAAATGAGTGAGGGTTTCAGTGCAGGAGAGGGGTGCCGGGCAGAACGTGCCTCTTAAAATCACCGGGCCGGGCACCTGGGCCTGCGGGCCGGAAGGCCCATGGGATCAGGCCTGTGGTGCACTCGGGGTTGGAGGCGTCTGACGCCTGCCTTCCTTGAGGTCCTGTCCCGGGGTTTTCAGGCTTCCTAATGAACTATTAATGAGCTGGGTGTAATTTATTGAATAGGGCAAGGTAAACTTGCTGTGCCTGGAGTTGAGTTATGTTTCCTGAAGGGGAAAGAAAAGTTATGAAATAAATCATCCCCTCTTTAATTAGCAGCTTTGGCTAGCCTACTCGAAATGACTGAGCAAAATGTGAAAATAAGCCAGCAGTTGAGTCAGAAGGCCAAACACAGCTCTCCTTTGCCGCTCAACCAGAGATTTACGCCGTTTGGGCGAACGCGTGGGGATGGGAGTCAGTCACCTGAACCGCGGCGAGGAAGCGTTCTTCTGCACGGCTCTGGGCAACCCTCAAACATGGTCCTTTCCCTCTCGATTCCAGTGTCATTCCACAATGAAAAAAGCCAGAGAACGCTGGAGAGAGGGGGGGAACTAATTAGCCATCTTCCAACATGCTGTATTTGCCTTCCTGCCCACTTCTCTGTGCCAGCGGGTTTTCCTGTACGCATCAGTTTCTTTCTCAACACAGAATGCCTGTTCTCTGACTTAACAGCACACGCTATTTGCCATAGTGGCGTGTATGGCCCGTACATTGAAAACACATGTCACTTCAGTTCAGGTCAGCAGTCACTGGGGCCTCCTAGAACGTGCCAGGGCTGAGCAAGAGGCACGTGAGAAGGAATCTGTGAGGCGGGAGATCACAGAGGGTATTCAAGGAGAAGAAGAACCTCTGAGTTCATGAGAAAAAAACGGAATCGATGATGGAGAAATCTTGACTGACTTACCATCCTAGTTAGAGTACACTTACATCAATTTCTTCGTTTCACAGCACAGATCGTGCTCAAAGACTCAGAAGAATGCTGGCCCATTGCCCTCCCCCAGGACACCCCACCCAAAGGCTGCACAGGTGAAATGCATGTGTCCTTCCTCCTAATACTTCTCAGTGGAGCCAATGCTGTTTTTCCCCGTGAGAGCCCACTCACACCTCAAGACTCGAAGTTTCAAGTTGAACCTGGCCCTCCCAGGGTTGGAGTCCACCTTGAAGAAGAACGACTTAAGCTTTGTGTACATGGCTCGGGGAAACATTTTGATGAGCTAAATGTGAACGAATCAAAAACACATGGGTCACGTTTTCTTGAACACACATGTGATTTTAACAGAAACGAATTTGTCTCCAAGCCTTTTGTTCTCCTGAAATTTCCGTCTGGACTCCAAACCCCACCGTGACACCTCGGCCGGTGGTGTGGATTTTCTAACCCTGCCCTCTTCCCGGCCTCCTGTGTGAAGAGCTCTGAGAGGCCACGCTGAGCTTCTCAGTCATCCTTTTCCCCAAATGACTGCCTCCCTCACACCAGGATTTCCATGCTTTCTTGGGAAGGGCCCATTCCCCTAACCCAGGCCTTGAAGGATAAAATTACCCCCACACCCCCTCGTTTTAGAAAAAAGGAAAAAAAAAGGATCTGAGAAATTTTCTCCCGCTGCAGCGCTCTTATGAAAAAAATTTGTAGCTCGTGTTTTCTTTTTACTTCAATCTGATTCACCTTTGTCAGCTAATACTTCGCATTCATGAAATTCGAACCGTGATGTTCCAGTCTCTTCTCCCTGCCTTGGTGGGAGGACAGACGCAGCGCTGGGCGGTCAGCGCTGCCCACCTGCCGCGGGGAAGCCCAGGCCGGCCGAGCGCTGCTGTGAGCAGGAACAGACCGCTCGTAAACGGCCCGGCCATTACCCTTTATGCGTGCTTGTTCTAGTAGGTGTCGCAGATTCCTGCCTCCTAATAAGGAGAGGAAGCAGAAAAACACATAAATTCTCTCGAGGGAGTCAGACAGCCTGAAGCCACGGTCGACAGCTGCAAACGTTACCATGAGCACAAAAGCAAAACAAGGTTTAAAAAAGTGATACATTGCCAGGCATTTTGGCAAGATTTCCTTGGATCCAGACTGTGTTTTGCACTGTTTCAGTTGAAAAGAAGAGCAGCGCTCCTGCCCGCCACATGTGATGGAATTTGGAGATTAAATAAATAATGGCATTAATGATCTAAAGGGTTTACTGAGTGCATCGCAATATTTGCCTTATTACCGCAGATTTGTTTGTTTGTTTAGCTGTTTATTTTAATTGTGTCTTTTCCTTTTTTTAAGTGTCAGCAGTTCACGTTTTGGCACCAGATGGAGGCTTTCTTTTGGTGAAATGCCACCGTGTCATTCAGCCGAGCTTTGAGCCTTTGAATGTTCGCGCAGGTAAGGTTCTTTCCTCTCCCTCCCTCCGCCCCTCCTTCCTCTCTTTCCTTTTTTCTCCCTCTCCACATTCTACTTTCCCTGAGATGCTCTGGAGATTGGTTAGAGATGTGCTCACTTATTTATGGAGACTGCAAAGGGAACACTCTGGTGCCTGTTTAAAAGGCCTGAGTCTACCCCGCGAGAGATGACAGGTTTACGAAGAAAATGGTTTGGTCAGAGTTCAGGGTGGACCTAAAAGTCCAGGGCAGCAGGCATGAATGTCTTGTGTCTTTTGATTTGTTCCAAATTTGCTTCTTAATGTCTTTAAGACCAAGTGTTTCTATGAGCTACGGTCAGTTTTTCCACAAAGAATGTGTTCCAAACTTCATTTCACAACTATTCCATTTTATCTAGTCTTGCTTATGTTGACTTTGAGAAGTTACTTTAGAGAAAAATGTGTGATTCTGATTTTTTTTTAAAGTTGTTTGTTTCATCTAGTTTGCACAAACCCATGCTGGGACACTGTGTTCCCGGAGGGGCCCTTATTTGCCTCAGCAGCAGAAGCCCGAAGCGTTGTCTCTTTCAATAACCAGGAACGGCTCGCCTCCATCACTTCCCCATCTCTCTATATATACTGTCAACGCCTGTACTGAAATGCAGGACAGATAAAATTTCCTTTTACCTCCTTCTAGAGACCTACTTCCATTTTTCAACGAGCCACTTAGCCCAGGAAGACAGGAAGTCAGGCCTGCACTCAGTTTTCTAGTATCCAGCCAGACATTTTTCTTTATTACTCCATTTTTTAATCACAGACAGGACACCAAGATATTTTATAGAGTTTCACATTTAGACAAGGACACACAGGCAACCATGGTAGAAACATAATGCCTAAAACCCCATGGCCAATGGTCTTCAGAATGTTCCAGGAAACTCCAGAATTCCATAATGGTGCTTCAGACATAGAAACCTTCAATTCCAAATATATAGCTCCTTGGAATGTATCTGGCAATATCCATTAAAATTAAGAATACATGGAGTCTTTGACCTAGCACCTAAACTTTGGAGGAATCTTTCCTTTAGAAATAAATGCCATAGTATATTAAGATCTATGTCTGTATATCTATATTGATATTGATCTATTTACACACACACACACACACACAAGCTTATTTGAGCCCCTGTTTACCAAATCAAGATGCTGGAAACAATCCAAGTGGCCGACAATTGTCCCCTAACACAGTGCCACGGTCTTTTGGGACATCCCCGATGTCTCGAGGCTGTTAAAGGACTCCAGTTATCATCCACAATCCCAGATGAAAAAGTTTTTTCTTCATTAAACATCTTTATTGTCCTTATTTATATTGATAAAATTTTGCTTTTGTGTATTCTGCATAAATGAACTATGTGTACAAATTAATTGGAGAAAAACAAAAAGTCACGCCAGACACTGACCCTCTCACAGGGAGAGGGATGCAGCTGGGCAGGGGCCCTGGACATCTCACCTGTATTTGTAATGTTTTATTTCTGAAGGTCACTGGTTAGCACAGAGGAGTCATTATGTTGTTCTTTATGTTACTCTTTTGGATGTCAAACTTTTCAAAAAGTTTTCTTTCTTTTTTTTGGTGAAGAAGATTGTCACTGAGCTAACATCTGTGCCAATCTTCCTCCCTTTTGTATATGGCATGCCACCACAGCATGGCCTGATGCTGGATGTGTAGGTCCACGACCGGGATCGGACCCCGTGAACCCCAGGCCACGAAAATGGAGCGCAAAGTCAACCACTACACCATCAGGCCTGCCCCTCAAAAAGTTTTAAAGAACGTTGAGCTTTAAAATGTTTCGAAGCCCCGAGGCTGGTAGGTCATTCCATAGTTTCATGGTCACAGTGGGACCCAAAGATACCATACTTCCCCCAAGGGGGCCTCCTCAGCACCCTCCGTACAAAGTACACCATAGCACCGTGGCATCCTAGAGGATGAAACATTTTAACACATGATGGTGCATGAATCATTATGGTATGTGAGTTAGCTACAGCATGAATTGATTGAGAAGGGATTTAGGTATGATTATGGTAAAACGTAGGTCACATTTCTATTTACCCATGTAAATATCATAACTGCTTATCACGATAGAAACTAAAATGAGCATCATCTCTTGGAAAGGCTACTGTCACTACCAAGAGACACAATTAGAGTCCCCTCGACTCTACCATGTGACACAGTAAGCACTTAACCTGTGACTTCAGGGGTAAAAACGATGTTGGAATTATCTGGTATAATCCTATCCTTTTCAGGGATTTTTAGGGAGCAGATCCAGAGAGCTGGACTGCCTCCTCTGCAGTCTGGACCGTCTGCGTCTTTACAGAGCACCTCCCACCGTGAAGCACAAGGCCCCTCCCTGCTCACTGGAATGAAATGATCGTCCTAAGAGGTCAACTTGCTTAATTATATTTAATTCCCCCAACTTTCTCCTGTGGCAGGAGGTAAAATGCCACTGGATATGGCTTTTCTCTTGAAAGTACGTGGAAGAGCTGTGTTGGAGGGTCAGAATAAGTGGTGTGTCTATCCCTAGTTAGAGGAGGTCGCCTTTCAGTTGTGGTGGACTGAGGCCATCGGCCACCAGAACAAGCCATCTCTTGCTTTACTGTAGAACCAGCTGTAACATCTAGAACGTGTTGCTCCTCTTTTCCTAAGGACTCAGAATATACCCACGAAGTTACTTCAAATAGAGTCTATTGTAATCGTCAAATAAGCCGAATGTCGCTAAATATACCCGCTGTTATTTTAGTCTTTATTTGTATATGATGATTTAATTTTCATTGACTTGGATGTGCTGTAGTGTAAAGCGCTCTGACTTCCCACCGCGGGTGGAGAGGGAACGACGATGCTGAAGCGCACAGAGCCGTCACCGGGGGCGGGTTGACTCGAAGCATGCAGGCAGACATACGGGCCTCATGTGTGCCCACCATCCAAGGGAGAGGAGAAGCCGAGAGAGGAAGCCTGCACTGGAAGAAGGAAAGAGACAACGAGACAGAGAGAGGCCCACGCAGTCTGTGTGGAGAAAGGAGATTTGATCAGAGAAATCACAAAGCAGGATCCAGACGCCCTGACAGCTACTGGGCAGTTACTGAGACTCATTCTTATCAACTGAGGTGGAGCACAAAATTAAGCAATACTAAGGCGAGGCCAATTCTAGGATAGATATATGAAATGACAGAAAACTATTTGTTTTACCTTTTTTTCCTCCCTGTGTGTGATGCATTTATTTATATTTGAAATGGAACGCAGTAATTTATCTTATCTTTATTCTACACCTGAAGTCATCCTCTTCCTCCTCAAATTAGCATCTCCTCCTGAATTTTCTCTCTCATTTGGGGCTCCTTTGGAGCGAGGCCCTCCAACTTGAACCCCTGAAAATCTAAGATAGCTACGATCCTGCTCACTCCGTAACAAGGCTCCCTAATTGTTTTTTCGTGAAGAAACAACACTGATGTTCCAGTCAAGACATAACATTGCCCCGGGAAGCAATTATTATTATTTTTTTAATATCAGCTTTATTAAGATATATATATAGGGGCCGGCCCCATGGCCGAGTGGTTAAGTTCGTGTGCTCTGCTTGGGCAGCCCAGGGTTTCACTGTTCACTGGTTTGGATTCTGGGCACGGACATGGCACCACTCATCAGGCCATACTGAGGTGGCGTCCCACATGCCACAACTAGAAGGACACACAACTAAAAATATACAACTATGTGCTGGCAGGTTTTGGGGAGAAAATGTAAAAATAAAATAAATTAAAAAATATATATATATATATACATGTATCTTATAATATATATATGTATCATAAAATTCACCATTCTTTAAAGTGTACAATTTAGGAGTATTTAGTATATCCACAGAATTGTGCGACCATCATCAACATCTCATTGTAGAACATCTTTATTACCCCCCAAAAAACCCTGTACCCTTTGGTGGTCACTCCACAATCCCTCCATCCCCACCCCTGGCAACAGCTAATCCACTTTTTCCCTCTATGGATTTGCATATTCTGGATATTTCCTATAAATGCAGTCACACACGTGGACTTTTTGTTTGGCTTCTTTCACTTAGCATAATGTTTTTGAGATTCAACCGTGTTGTAGCATGTATTAGTATTTCATTCCTTTTTATGGCTGAATAATATTTCATTCTGTACACCAAGTTTTGTGTACCCATTCATCAGTTGATGGACATTTCAATTGCTTTTACTTCTTGGCTATTGTGACTAATGCTGCTGTGGACACTTATTCACAAGTTTTTGTGTGGACATGTGTTTTCAGTTCTCTTGGGTATATACCCAGGAATAGAATTATTGGGTTACGTGACAACTCTACATTGAACATTTTGAGAAACTTCCAAACTGTTTTCCAAAGTGTCTGCACCAATTTACAACTAATGAATGAGGGTTCCAATTTCTCCACATCCTCATCAACATTTGTTATTACCTGTCTTTTTTATTTTAGCCATTATTGTTAGTGTGAATTTGTATCCTGTTGTGGTTTTGATTTGCACTTCCCTAGTGAAAAGTGATAATAAACATCTTTTCATGTGCTTGTTGTTCATTTGTATATATTCTCCCAATAAATGTCTCTCTTAGGAAATCTGTCTCTCTCTCTCTCTCTCAGGAAATCCTTTGCTTATTTTTTGGTGGAGGAGGGGGAAGATTGGCCCTGAGATAACATCCATGCCAATCGCCCTCTGCTTTGTATGTGGGGTGCCACCACAGCATGGCTTGATGAGCGGTGTGTAGGTCCACACCTGGGATCCGAACCTGTGAACCCCAGGCCGCTGAAGCCGAGCGAGTAAACTTAACCACTATGCCACCAGGGCAGCCCTGTTAATTTTCTTTATATAATGTCAGGTAGAAGACCAACTTTATTCTTTTGCATGTCGATATCCTAGCACCACTTGTTGAAAAGACTATTCTTTCCCCATTGAATTATTTTGATACCCTTGTAGATAATCAATTTCCTGTAAATATAAGGGTAAGGGTTTATTTCTGGATTCTCCATTTTATTTCATTGACCTATATGTCCATTCCTATGCCAGTACAATACTGTCTTGATTACTGTAGCTTTGAAGCAAGTTTTGAAGACAGGAATTTTGAGTCCTCTAACTTTGTTCTTTTTCAACATTGTTTGGGCTACTCTTGGTTCTTTGCATTTCTGTGTAATCTAGCATTTGGCTGGCCTTTGTCCCCAGTTTCTGGGAGGTAACTTCTAAACTCTTGGAATTTCCTGTGTGATAGGAGTGTCTTTGTTATTCATGTTTGGCCCCTTGGACCACACCTGATACTTTAGGCTAATGAGGAGACTCATGGTGGTCCCCTAGATAGTTTATGCTAAGGAGATGACTCAGGATGGGGTTGGTCATTCCAGGGAGACCAACCGTGTGATTAGCATGTCGGGGCTTTGAGCATCATGATGTCAGCCCGACCTCTGGGAAGGGGAAGGAGGCTGAAGATTGAGTTTAACCGTGTGGCCCAAGATTCAATCAACCATACGCATGTAATGAAGCCTCAGTCAGACTCTGGAAGCTTGGGTAAGCTTCCCTGTTTGACAATACGCTCTGAGTACTGTCACACTTTGATGCCAGGAGGGTGGCACACCCCTGAGGACAGCAGAAGCTGTGCATTTGGAACCCTCCCAGACGTCACCCAATGTGTCTCTCCCTTCAGCTGGTTCTAATTTGTAACCTTTTGCTATAATAAAACTGTAGTTCTAAGTACGGTGCTTTCCTGACTTCTGTGAGTCATTCTAGTGAATTACCAAACCTGAGGATGGTTGTGGGAACCCCTGAGTTTGTACCAAGCTGGTCAGAAGGGAGGATGGTCCTGGGTATCCCTGGACTTATGACTGGTGTCTGAAATGAGGACAGTCTTTCAGAGGACTATGCCCTTAACCTTGAGTTGGACTAAATCTAGGTAATTTCCTTATTAATTTCAGGATCAGCTTGTCAATTTCTGCCAGAAAAAGGGCAACTGGGATTTTGATAGGGATTGCATTGACCCTATAGATCAATTTCAAAGCACTGTCATCTTAACAATATTAAAGCTTTTGATCTAAGAATGGAAAATGTCTTTACACTTATTTAGGATTTATTCTTTCAATAATATTTTGTAATTTTTGTGTACAAATATTTCACCTCCTTGGTTAAATTTATTCTTAGGTATTTTATTCTTTTTGATGCTTTGTAAATAAAGTTGTTTTCTTAATTTCATTTTTGGATTGCTCATTGTTGGTATATAGAATACAATTGATTTTCATGTATTGATCTTGTATCCTGCCACCTTGCTGAACTCATTAGTTCTAATAAGTTTTTAGTGGATTCCTTAGGATTTTCTATATACAAAATTATGTCATCTCATAATAAATAGTTTTACTTCTTCCATTCCAATCTGGATGTCTTTTCTTTCTTCTCATTGTCTAACTCTGAATAGACATTCCAGTACAATACTGAATAGATGTGGTGAATGTAGACCTCTTAGTCTCGTTCCTGATCTTAGGGAGAAGGCAGTAAGTATGCTGTTAGCTGTGGGTTTCCACAGATGGCCTTTATCAGCTTGAAAAAGTCCCCTTCTATTCCTAGTTAGGTGAGTGATTTTATTAAGAAAGGGTAACCATAGTTTTGTGAAGAGCCAAGAAGAAGAGACAAATGAAATACCCAATAAAACACAAATGTGAGATCTTCTTCCGTTTAGCTAGTTCCTTATTCCCCATTCAAGTTGTGCTTTTTGAGGAGAGAACCCCTGAATCATAGCTGGGAGCCAACTGGGCTGTCCTTAACCTTGTACAAGAAAATGAGGAGATTCCTCCCCACCCCCCACTGACTTGCATCCAAATCATCTAATCCAAAAAATACCCAGTGAAAGTGCTCCTGATTTCTGACTTTATGAGCAGCAAAGGGGCCCTGAATCAGGAATAACTATTTCAGAGAAGTACCTTTCTAGTTCGAGAAAACTCCTCTTTCTTAGTGGAAAACAAAGTCTCTCTAACTGGGACATTTTTTCACCTTTTCTTCCCCCAAACACAAGGTACTTACGCAAAGAAAGGACAGGGGACTGAGAACGGGCATTCCTTTATTCCCAGTGGTGGCTCAGTCGCTTCTCCCTGCCATCCGTGAATTCTCACAAGAAGGCCTTTGTAGTCACCTGACCCCAACCACATGTGAAAGGAATTTAAAAAGGAGGTTCAGAGAGAGGAACTAAACCAGAGTGAGCAATGACCAGAATATTCACTTTAAAAAGACAATTCTCTAGCTACTAAGTTACCTTGTTTGTGTCATCCTAGGTGTGCAATGAAATCTCCGTTTCATCTGGTGCATCTAGACTGATCCACTGTCGTGGCCGTCTTGTGAGGCTGTGTGACACAGCCTCAGCGACACAGGGCTCAGTGACACAGAGTGCCGCGATCAACTAATGAGGCCTGGCGAGGCCAGAGGCAGAAGAAGTGGTGTCCTGCCTCCATTGTTTCTCCAGGGTATTGAGTAGAAAGCCATCCTCCAAATGTTTGATGTGATTATTGCAGAGGAAGCAACATAGAGAAGCAGAGGAGAATGCTCTACGGAGGAGATCATATGAGGAGAGGAGTTCCAGTTAAAAATTGCTCTAGACTGAGAAAAGCAAGAAGAAGAAAAGCGAGTAACAAGGATTGAGAATTGACTTTGAAGTTTAGCTGGAGTTCCATAATTGCAAATAGACTTGGATAAAATGCAGGAAAAATATATTTGCTTTTTATGATCTGGAGACATAGCGATGACTGCCTTTATTCTGGCATTCTTTCATGTTGTGAACATTGCTGCTACGTCTTTTTGAATAGAGAATCACACGGTTTTGAGACCTCAAAAAACATGTTTTGAGTCTCTCCCGTGTGTCTAGAACCATCCCTGGGACAGCATGGCCTAAAAGGAGAGCCAGGTTCTTACTTTCTCCCCGACCACCCCACTTTGCCCTGGCTGTAAGAGAGGCCGTTAGGAAGTTGAGGGTGGGCAGAAGCCAGGCAACAGCCCCAGCGGCGCGAAGGCAAGCCAGAGCTCCCGCAGTCCCCCCGGCGCTGGAGCAGCCGCGGTGAGCTCTGGGCAGTGCGGCCCCGCCCGCCTGCAGAGGAGCGAGGTCGGATCTGCGACGGAAAACTCAAGGTTCCAGGTCCTTGCCGTGGAAGCCGCACGTGGACGTTTTGATGAAGCAAGTGCTCTCTAAAGACATCCAGACAGGGGGCCGAACCCTGGCTGTGCCCATGCAGTCTAGAAGGCCTGCACAATGCTTTACTTAATCTTAGCATTTCCTCATCGATAAAAAAGGGATGTTAATAGTACCCACCTCGTGAAATGATACATATAATGCCCGCACAAGAGGACGTATTTGTGTGTTTATGTGTATATATGTTTACAAAATCTTTGTATAGATTTTACCCGATTTCACGTATGCAACATTTTGGGTAGTAGTGATAGAAATACTCTAGTGTAGATTAGAATATATTTCTTCAATATCAGGTTCCCTAAATTGGAAATAAATGTGAATCAGGGAAAAGATTAACTTCAGGCTGGAGAAAAGCG